GCAGATCCGCTAGTCGAGCAGACAGCGTGTATCTCCGCCGAGGGTGTCATGCACAGACAGGCCAAACGACATCCACACCTCCGACTTTGAGATGTAGTTGGACAGAAGAGTCGAAGAGTTTCTTCGTGCAGTGAATGCGTTGCAGGTCGCGCAGGAAGATCTACCGCAATTTCCTCCTGCTCAAGATCTCCCATTAGCAGCCTTACCACAATGGATCCAAGATCTATGGCCGACATGGCAACAAGCCGCTCGTGTTGGCCTAGGTGCAGTGGACTTCCTTGCCAACGCTGAGACATGGTATACCGATCACGGCCGCATTCAGCAATGTCTTTCTTCTCGCATCATTACGCTTGGCTCTGATCCCACTTCCTGGGTAGCTGACATTCTACATCATGACCTGTTGATCGATGGCGTGGACACCCAGATTGTTCCAGTTGACCCTATGACGGTCAGCGCCTAACATTTGCGCCCAACTGCTTTTGATTCAACGACCTGACAGCTTTCAACGCTCAGTGATCGCAACCATTTCCGACACGGCAGTACAACGTGGGCTCCCTCGATCCTGCGCTATTGTGACAGGTGATCGAGTACGCCTTCATGGAGTTCTGTTGATGACCGGGCTCTTGTACCAGTGCCCTCCTGAGGCCCTTCACAACCGTTAAATTGTCGGTTATTCTATGGCACCCGGGAATTACCTGGTGATGCCTTTCTTCCAGCAGTACATGGCGATGTTTTTTACTTCGTCATCGAGCGGGACGTCACAGCTTCTTGCGCTTCCTGATCCTCATATGCGTCAACGGCTTGCAGCTATTCTGGAGCAAGGCATTCAACAACTGCACGCCCCAAACGCAGATCGCCCGACAGTTTGGGCACCAGACTGGTTTAACAGTCTGCAATTGACCTTTGACTCCCTTGCAGCCCTTGAGCTTTTGGAGGAGGGCCCGGTGTTTTACATCCACACTTGGTTCATTGATGCAGCGATCGCTGCGCGCTGCCCAGTCTCCCGACCGGTCCGGCTACGACACGACCGACGTATCTGGCAGACAGAGATCATTACAAGGCCGACGTACCTGGCAGAGAGAGATCATTGCTGTTTGGCAAGGTCAGATCCATTCGCATCATCCGATTGATTTTGCATTTGTTGACCCTGATCCACCACGACTGCCTTGGATGTCACCTTCCGCCCACTTGTTACTTACGCAACGGGCTGAAGATGCTCATGCCTTAGTCCTGGTCAGCACTATGCTACAACAACCGGATGGTCCAGTACTTTTACAATGCATGCACCATCTGGCCAACAGAGTGTCGACGGCTGACATCGTAGCTGCAAACCTTCCTGAGGGAATCCATGGGCCCGGCAGGGTGCGTCGGCGTGATCAGGTTTTCCCTGCTATCAGCACGGCTGGGGTCGGCAATGGTGACAGCATTGAGAGTGATATCTTACCTACGACCATGGCGCTGCAGCCCGACGAGACAGAGGATTCGGCTATGCTTCAGCTTCCACCTGTTCCTCTCCAGTCGCACCACACCCCAGTGACCCTGTCCCTGGATGCTACCATCCCACCAGTGCCTGCCAACGACCTGCACGACGTAGGATACCCGGAATTACTTTTCTCATAAGAAGAGGATTGGTCCAAGCAGCTTCACGACATGAACCTCCAGTTTGTGATGCTTCCTGAAGCTCTATACAGCTACAGGCTGTCACCTTTCATGCTAGGCAGGAGCGGCATACCTTGAACCCTGCTTAGCCCACAAGTTGGCCCTCTACGTGGACGGCTCAGCTCGGGACCTCACGCAGCATTGGGCGTTGTGGCCATCGAGCATGACTGGCGAGGCTCTCCCTCCAGAATGGGTGCACTTTCTGGTCTCCTTGAACTCAACCACAGTTCGTCGCAATGGATTGGTGCCGCTTTTCCGGACAACGTGGCAGCTGAGATCACAGCTTCGGTTGCTGCCCATCTAGCAGCACTGGCCCTTCCGCACCCTGAGCACACCGTCATCCAGCCAGACCTTGCCCTGAGCGCCATCCATGCACTCTACATCCACTTGGTCTTAGTCTTGCTCATCCTATCATGAACTTGCTGCAGTTGCGCGATGGCTAGGCCAATGGTTTGCCAATGCTGGCGGTTCATGTTTGGAAGTACGCGGCCACACAGCCCATCCTTGGAACGACCTCGCGGACTCACTGGCTGGCTGCATTGACTTTTGCCTTTGCCATCACGCCGTTACTTCTGGTGACCTGGACTGGACATGGCTGCAGCTTCAACGACCCTGCTTCAGCCCATGTATGCCACCAGCGCAGGGGTTGACACAAGTTGGATGATTCAACCTTCACTGCGGAGGAGTGCTGCCAAACCTAAGGCAGCTTTGACAGGTGAACAATGGCATCGTGTTGCCTTCACTATTGCCACAGCCAATGTTTTGGCCCTCCACTGATTGTGATGGACTTCCCACCGGATCAACCTCGTCTCGTGCCGAACGACTCGATCATCAATGGCAT